CTAGCATAAAATAAGCATAAAATTGTATTTACCTCGGCAAATGAACGATCTTGAAACGTTTCAATCCCGGAAAATACTCCATTTGATCAGAAAATCGATTAAATTTTCAAAAAAACAACACATTTGAATGGCTTTTAGAGAAGAGAAGAGCTTTTAGAGCTTTTAGAGAATTTTGGGGGCTCCGCGTCGTCTCAACTTTTCCCCTTTTCCTTATCGGAATTTCTTTGTGCGCCGAGAATTTAGATTGAAATCCTTCTGAATATTGCCAAAAGTTGTGTACAAAGTGGGGAAATTATAGGAAAATGAGTCATTTCGGGAAAGAAAGTGAGCCTCGTGGCATTGATTGATTGATTGTTCTTTTTTTCTTCCGATTCGATCCCCCCCTCCCCCCACTCCATTTTAGGGCCACACTCATCTCAAGGACTTCCCTTTTGCTCTTTCTTTTTGTTGAAAACACTTATTCTTTGTTGACTTTACTCCAGTGACCAAAGAATAGATTTTAAAGGTTTGTTTCTGCAATATAATTTAATTCTAAACGCATTTAAACCGTTTACTTAAGACAAATAATTGAGTTAAATTGCTACAAGTTAGCTCTACAAGTTAGCTCTGCAAGTTAGCTCTACAAGTTAGCTCTGCATGTCAGCTCTACAAGTTAGCTCTACAAGTTAGCTCTACAAGTTAGCTCTACAAGTTAGCTCTACAAGTTAGCTCTACAAGTTAGCTCTACAAGTTAGCTCTACAAGTTAGCTCTGCAAGTCAGCTCTACAAGTTAGCTCTTTCGGGGAGAGCCCAATTTCCATATTTCAGGCATTTCAGCAACTCGCTATAACTCGCTTCGTTGTTGACCGATTTAGACGATTTTACTACCATTTTGTAGCTCTCAATGAGTTTTATTTTACTACCGTTTCGCTGCGCTCATTGAGAGCTACAAAACGGTAGTAAAATAATCTAAATCGGTCAACAACGAAGCGAGTTATAGCTTATGCTTATCTAATGTTAAACAACGCCTATCTAATGTTAACTTTTGTATCTAAAAAGTATAAACTGTTTCTATTTAAATTATTTCTATTTCTATTTAAATAAACTTTGCCAAAAATTTGCCAATTTCCAATTCCTCCCTAAAAGTCTTACAATTTTCAATTAGTTCAACGAAAGAAAAGAAGAAAAAACCACAATCAAAACATTTCCACCAAAACATTTTCGAATGACTCATCCCTATTCCCTATGCATTTCAATTTAGCTGAAAGAAAGCCAGAAAATAGAAAGCCAGAAAAAAGATAGAAATCGAAAAATTGACTCCTATTGTGTTCGGAAGGATTTTCTGAAAAAGAAAAATTTGCCAAGCGAAAAGAATTGAAAAATATCGATTGATGGGGAAGAAATGATAGGGAAAGGGATCCAAAAAAAGGAAATGGATTGACAGGGGACTGTTGGGATTCAATGGGACTCTTGGGATTCAATGCGACTGTGAGAACATTGACCTATGTGGTAATTAGTAGCCATCGGTGACCCGATTCACCCTGGTGAAAGGGTCTTAAAAGAAAAAGGGTGAAAGTAATGCATCCTGGCGACAATAGGACCCGTTCTGGTGCAGCTGAAAACCCACAGTGATCTAGTACTCTTCTCTAGTAGCTGATTGGTAGAGTGTTCACCCGGTAAGCGAGAGATCGCGGGTTCGAATCCCGGCGCCGACCAGGTTTTGTATTCCTTGCCTCAACTCATAAAAGGACTTGTGTCCAACTTGATAGCTTTTAGGTCATCTTTGGAAAAGAAATCTAACAGTAAGTGACAGGGATTTTCCAAACGGGGCCTCTAAAGTAGCCTTGGCTTTGGTTTAGCTTTACTAGAGAGGAGTACTAGGTGACTGTGGGTTTTCTAGGTTTTCTAGCCTAGATCTAGCCCATCCGATAGAAAATCGAACGGGGAATCCGAATCTGTAATCAAAATTTGCTGAATAGCTCGCAAACGCGTAAAAGTATTAGCTTATTAGTAAGCCTAGCAGGTTTAAACATTTAAAAGCTGGTTTAAAACTTAGTTTAAAAGTTATTCAGTCGAGTGCCTTGATGCAGTTAAATGACTGCTTGCTTTCTAAAGCAACAAAGCAACAAAGCTACTTTTAACAAAGCAACAAAGCTTCTTTCAACAAATTTGAACAAATTGTAAAACAAACAAAGAACAAAGCTACAAATAAAAGAGAAGGGAAATCAAAAACTGATTTGAAGTCCAAAAAAAAAATCACCTCAATCAATTTAGTACAAAAAGAGGTGAAAAAGAAATCTCCGAGTTCGACCCGGGAAATCTCTTTTACTCGACGAGTGCCAACTCGTGAGTTCTTCCCCTTTTTCACTTCTTTTTACTCCTTCCTATCCCATTTTCTTTTTACGGGAAGAGGCCGACCGACACACATGTTTGCATATGTGCGCTTCAATATGTCTTTAAAGTGTGACTAGTCAAAATTCGAATCATCAAAGTATTGCTATGCGTTTTTATGCTCTGATCACGATCTGGTCAACAATAAAAAGCAAATGATTGAATCTATAAAGGATTTTAGCAAAATTGTATAGTTTATTGTCTCCAAAAACAGATTTTGTTTTGAAAGATCAAAAAAAGAAAGATCAAGACAATCAAGAAGATCAAAACGATCAAAAAGACCAAAAAAGAAAGATCAAGACAATCAAAAAGATCAAAAAAACATTTGCTTATATAAAATTGCTATTATAATCACAGGCTGCTATGTTACTGAGAAATTTGACATGTTTTTATCAATAATTTTATCGGTAACAAGTTGCCATTGTAAGTCTACGGTTTACTGCAAATTACTTCAACCAAAAATTCTTTCACAAAACAAAACTGGCTAACAAACACTTTTATAAGCACAATTTGAGGCTCTTATTTACTTTTTAAACCCTTTTATCAATCTAGATCATAAAAAGTGCACTAAAAACCTTTTTTTTCTTTGCTTTTTGCAACTTAGAATGTTTGCGAAAACGAAAATCCACGAGCTTTACGAGCCAAGAAAGTGACTCTGATCGTAAATTTTGCAAAGTAAACAGGAAACAAATAAAAAGCAAAAATCGTATCATAAGATTGATCTAAATCTTATCATAAGATCTAAATCAATAATTATTGTGGTTTTTTGACTCTTTAAATGGCTGACTCTTTAACCGCTGACTCTTTAAATGCTAATTGTTACGTCAAATGACCATAAAATAGTCAAGTCAGCTCTAAACAAGTCAACTTAAAATTGAAGCAACTCACAAAGCTTTAAGAAGGTTTAAACTTTTCTTACGATGAGCAATGAACGGGTAAAAACCTGTAAGGTATTACATTGAAAGAAAATAAAACCTAAAACCAAGAGCGGGACTGAACACGAAGCTGGACCGAGAGACCGAGAGGCCATCCCACTACCCACTAGGCTACAGGTGGTCATTGAATGAATGAAAAGAATTGAATCACATTGAAGGAAAAGCACCCTTAAAGCCAAAAATTGAACTGAAGTTTTGAAGATAAGCTTTAAAGGGCGCTTTTCAATCACCCAGACCTAAGCCCCGTGGCCTAGTGGATAGTGAAGTTGCCTCTCGGTGGAAGACCGGGTCCTTACTCGGGTTCGGTTGCCGGCTTCGCTTTTTGGTTTTTTTTTCTTTCAATTTAATACTCTACAGCTTTTTACCCGTTTATTGATCATCGTTAGAAACGTTTAGAACTTGTTAAAGCTTTCTCTTTCTAGAAGCTAAATCTCAATTGAAAAGGGGAATCGATGTGACGCTCTAAATCTTATCGTAAGATCTAAATCTTACCATAAGATCTAAATCAATAATTCTTGTGGTTTTCTATCACTTTTTTTGTACGAAAGCTAGCTGAAAGGAAGAAAAACGGCCTTGATGAGGTCATTTGGAAAAGGGAAAAAAATTGGGGTGAAAAGTTTGGGTTTAAATTGTGAAAACGGGATTGACTAGAGGAAATCTTATTGAAGTTAATTGATTTTTTTGGTTTTTGAATCTTTAAATATCTACCTTAAGATTAATTTTGAATAAAAATGTCAAAAAGTACTATTCCTTAGAGGATAGAAATTCTAAAAATGCAGCTAACAGAACAAAACAAAACTGATAGCTAACAACAAACTTGATAACTAATAAATGAAGATACTGATTTATTTATCAATTAATCCTTTGATTTAAACCTTTGAAAAGTTATTAAGCCTTTATTTATTTAGATTACTGTAATGAAACAAGCATTGTTTTAGAGCCTTAGATAGAGCGCAGCTTTTGATGCAAATTGTTTATGTTAAGATAAACTAGATCAAAAACATCAAAAACCTATCAAAAACTATCAAAATTTCCATAAAAGACTTGCAGTTTTGCAATTCAAAAGATATATTACTCTTAAAGAAAACAAAAACTGTCTCTTCTCTAAATGAGTTTTCCCAATCATTGATCTCAAAACTTTTCTCTTTTTTTCCCTTTCTTTGAGGGCCACCTGTACCCCAAACTAATCCTTTTGCTGATGGCTAATTCCTCAAGTCAACAGGATCAATAAATTCTCTAACTTTTCTCCCAATCATTTCTCTATTTTTCTTCGAGATACAATTTTTTCAATGATGAACAGCAAAAGTTCTAAGTTAGAACTTCTAACTAGTCAAAATAGAGAAAAGCTATCGGACATTTGAGTCCTTTTGCCATTGGCAATTGAACTTTGAGCTTCAATTTCTTGGTGTTGGGCTGTTCAATTTAAATACTCTTGATATCATTGGATGCGCCAAGTCTTTCTCTGTCGATTGATACAAAAACTATTAAGATTGGACAGCCGAACACCAAGATATTTGAGCTCAAAGTTCGATTGCCAACGGCAAAGGGGGCCGGGCGCGTATCAAATGTCCCATAGACATAGAGAAATGCATGGGTTCCTGTAATTATTTTGCACGTCATTCAAGTATAGCTGACACTTGAGGGTGGCTTGCAAAACAGTTACAAGCTGATCTTGCAGAGTTTAAGTCAAACTCACTTCTCAATCCATTTCGCTCGCTCTAACGGTGTTCGGCAAGCGTAATAGGTGTTTGCGACTCGGAAACAATTCGGCACATCCAACACCGACGGATGAACGGGATGCGGACGGGCTGAGTTGTCGCCTGAAAGTGTTTACAATGTTATATGCATAAAACCTCTACCAAATTTAGCTCATTGAAACTTATTCAACTTATTTTATCCTTTTTTGTTTTAACTTTTGCCCTTTAGCTTCAAACATTATAATACCAGCGGAAAACGCTGACTAACGTTCGAATTTTTCATGAATTCTAAGCCCCGCCCCTGTTTGGAAACTTCTGCCCCGCGCACCTTATGGTCCGGGCTTGGCCCCATCAGATTATTTTTTGTTTCGATCGTTGAAGAGTTTTCTTTTGGGAGAAAAGTTCGAGGAGAATCATGCACAGAACAAAAAAGCAGTCGACACTTATTTTGGCTCGAAAACTCCGCATTTTTTTTTGAGGATCGGATCAGGGAGTTACGACGAAGATGGGAACAAGTCATCAATAACAATGGAGAATCACTCATTGATTGATGTGCGTTTGTTTATGTTTTTAGCAAAAAAAAATAGTTTTGTGACAAAAACCGACATTACTTTTTCCTCAACCAAATAGAATTCAAGAAACTATTGTCTTGTTTCTACAAATTTCTTTTGGTGAATCGGCCTCTGATACCTGCTTTAACTCCAGGTTTATTTGAATCCAACAAAGAAACTTTGAGTCTACTTCAGCTTACTTCAGCTTAATCTATAGAGGTTACTACAGCTTGATCTATAGAGGTTACTAAAGCTTAAACTATAGAGGTTACTACACCTTAATCTATAGAGATTACTACAGCTTGATCTATCGAGGTTACTAAAGCTTAAACTATAGAGGTTACTACAGAAATATCGTATTTATTCCGATGGAAGAGCCTCTTCAGACGAAATTTTCATTATTATGGATTTGTCAACTCTCGGATATGCTCAACTCGGATATGCACAACTTTTTAAAGACTTCCAAAGGTTTTGAAGCTTTTGGAAGTCTTTAAAAGTTATAGACTAAAGTTATAGACTAAAAAAGCTTAATGACGTCGAAAACCGAATGGAAATTCAACAAAAAACACTCATTTTTTGATCTCTTGAAAATTTAGCTAGAGCAAAAGCACAAAAAAGAGTTTTACAAGGACATTGAAAAATAGAAAAGCTGGCTCTTCTATTATTAATAGAATAATAGAATGTTTACGGAAGTTAACTTGAAAAACTTACGCATATCAATCATATGCGTGGCAGTCGAATAACTGAGAAGACTCTCGTGTGAGCGGCTTGATCTGAAATGTGTATAGATATTCGAAATGAAAGGGATTTTGAGGAAATGTCTGTTTCCTCATTTAACAAATCTAAACCAAATCAGGTCGAGAACCCAAGTGGAACGTTTTCCCACTTGAAACGCCCAAAAAAAGGAAATTCGAAAAAGGCAAAGGAAAACTAGAGATCTTAAACTAGAGAAAACTAGTTCAAGGTTTTTTTTGGTGTAAACCTGTCGAGAGAACTTTAGCTAGCTTTGAGTTTTGGTTAATTTAAAATCGGAGAAACTAGAGTTAAATTTAAGACAAATTAGGAGAAAGGGGCAAAATAAAAATGGCTTTTATGAGTTATACAGGGTTGGGCACAATTATGGCACGATTCTGCTGAAAGGTTGGACTTTGAAGTACTATAAAAAGCTTCATACTGTGTTTCTGAACTAAAAATTGAAATTGACTGCAGAAATTAACTTGAAATTCATATAAACTTCATATGAAATTCATATAAACTTCATATAAATATGAAATTAGCGAAATTGAATGATTGGGCGTCGAGTTACAGTCTAAAAACCGAGTTGCCATAGTTGTGTCCAATCCTGTCCACCCACTGGGACTATACAAGGTGCCGCACAATTATTCGCACTCATTTCAGATTCTCCAGCTTAGCGAAGGGTCAATCAATCGACCTTATTCGTTTTTTATTATCAAATTTGAAGTTTTCTCTTGCAATGTGGTCAGGATTTGATCAGAAATTCGGGATTTGGTCAGAAATTCGGGATTTGGTCAGAAATTCGGGATTTGGTCAGAAAAGTTTCTAAACTTTTGCCAAGAGCGCTGCAAAATTTGCGACACGCGTTTCTTTCGGCGGTAAATTGCGATGGTAAATTACAATAAAAGCAAGCGAATAAATTGAGAAATTGGTAAGTTTATAGAGAAGTTTATAGAAGTCTTTTAATAGAGAGATTGGTAAGTTTATAGAAGTCTTTTAATAAAGAGATTGGTAAGCTTTTTAGAAAAGGTAGATTTATGACCAGGATTTGATTCAAAAAGTTCCATATGCTTAATGGAAAGTACTCCAAAAATGCATAAGCTTTTGAAGAATAGCTACAATGCAAATTCGATGGTGCTTACAGCAAAAGGCGAGCTCACCTCAAATGATTTTGATCCTGTTGATAGAGATTTCTTCGCTGCAAACCATTGAGATTCGAGAGGTTCTCTTGGGATCTCTTGAAGTCCGGTTCACGCACAATGATTCTAAATTTGGTCAGATGATTGGAAAAGGAAGATATGACTCATAAACACCATAAATTAGGATTACGGTTTTCTTAAATTAGTTAGCAGCTCACAGTAAGCTGCAGTAAACTATAGTAAGCTACAGTAAACTACAGTCTATCGTATGGCTGACTGTAGCTCATTGTGGCTTGCTACAGTAAACTAAAGCAGTACGCATGATTAGAGTGTGTTCCTTCCTCGCTTTTTAAAACGCGCTCCAAAGGGAAAAACTAATTTAGCGGCTGGCCGAGTGGCTTGTGTGCTTGTCTCTAAAGCGAACAGCCATTAGGCGCCAAGTTCGACCCCGGCTTGAGTTCAATTTTTTGGTAAAGAACCATCTTTCAGAGCGTTTTAGCTCACAGTTGCTTAAATTATTAGCTTAAACTATTAACTTAAATTATTAAATTCAAAAGCATAGGTACGATACAGTAATTTCAGCCTGAATCTTGGTGAATTTTTGACACAATAACTACAGTAAGCTGCAGTAAACTACAGCCTGTCGTATGGCTTACTATAGCTCACAGTAAGCTGCAGTAAACTATAGTAAGCTACAGTATACTACAGTCTGTCCAATGGCTTACTGTAGCTCACAGTAAGCTGCAGTAAACTACAGTCTGTCGTATGGCTTACTATAGCTCACAGTTAGCTGCACTAAACTACAGTCTGTCCAATGGCTTCTGTAGCTCATTGTGGCTTGGTAAATCTTTTAGTAATTTTACAGTAATTTCAAGCCTGAATTTTGATTTAATTTTAAATTTTATCATTTCAAAATGAATGTTAGTACGATAGTGACTAAAAGTCTTAAACTAGAATAACGAATTGACCGTTTTCTTCTTTGCCCCCAACCTACCTAGTACTTTTATCATCAATAATTGAAACGGTACTCACTCCACACAAATAGTTCATCAGTTTTCAGTAATGAATTGTAGAACGAATCCCAGGGTTTTCAAAAAAAAGATCAAAGGTTTCTTTTTTGTGGAGTGGCTGTTCGTTTCCCCGTTTTTATGTCCTCTTTGTTGGGTGGGCCACAAAAAAACGATTCGGCTCAAATTCCGCCCCAAAAACAACGTCGTTTTTTTGGCTTTTCTTAGATGAAATTTTCGGCTGCAAAAACGGGTACTTGTTATTTTAGGAGGGATAAAGTGGATATTTTGTGCCTTGGTACGAAAACCTACGGTAAATTATAGCTGAAGTTATGGATACGGTAAATTATAGCTGATGTGATGAAGAAATTAGCTAATTTCACGAAGACATGACGCTTTATCCCCGCTTGAACGCAACAAAATAACATTTTGTTCACATTGTAAAAAGGAACTGGTTTATCGGATAGCACTTGCACAGAAGTATAACTTGCTAGAACTGACCTAAAGTGATAAAAACACTAAAAAAAGATTAATTAACAAAAAAAACAGTCTAAGAAACGGCTAACCGATTTGGTGGTTAACCCAGAGGTTCTTCTACGACTTCTTAAGACGGGGATTTCCATTTCAGGGTTGTTTCTTTAGTGAAAACCATTAAAACATTCCAAAAAACGCCATACTAAGGCCGATTTTTCAAAAGAACTCTGCTAAACAAAATAACGAAATAAATAATGAGGAATTTCGCCAAATTCCTCCCTTAAATACCGACAGCTACAGTACTAGCGACAGCTTAAATACCGGTTTCTCGACGCATGATTAGAGTGTGTTCCTTCCGAGTAATAGCTTTTTAAAACGCGCTCCAAGGGAAAAACTAATTTAGCGGCTGGCCGAGTGGCTTGTGTACTTGTCTCTAAAGCGAACAGCCATTAGGCGCCAAGTAATCCAGATTATCCACGATATAAGTACACTAAAAACCATAAAACACCCAAATTTCTTGCCAAATTGTAAACTTTTTTTAAACAAATTCATAATTTCGACTCAGCTTATCCGAATGTATAGTTTTTTTAAAAGAAAGACAATTTGTAACAAGCAACTGGCCGAAAGGTGTTACAGGAAATGTCGCTCGGAGATTTATTGCCTCTAATTGAGCCCAGTGAAATATGAGACAACCTTATAGATCTTTACAAAATCTAGCTTTTCCCTTCTACCTCTTATCATTATAAACAGTTCTTCCTCGCACGAGTTTTGATCGACTTTTCGGTCTCAATCTGATCGTCGGCAATTTCGGTGGTTCGACAGATTTAGCGCGGAGATCGTCCGCAAATTGCCATTCATAGTGTCTCTGAAGAGACAAACGAGAGGCGAAATTTAGAGATTTCGATGATGGAGTCGAGCCCAGATATAGGGACATTCACTGGAGATTAGAAATGGAATTCAATTCGATATGACAAAGGAAACAGATGAGTGGACTGATAATAGAATAGAATTTAAATAGAGTACAAAATAGACGTCAAAATAGACTTCAAAAGTCAAATGGAATTCAAATGGACTTCAAAATAGACTTCAAAATAGACTTCAGAATTCAAATAGAATTCAAAAATCGGTACTTCTTTAGTATTCGAGGCGGAGGCGAACTTTAAATGGCAACAACCCACAATTTAAACCCTTTTCTTGTCACAGATTTGAAAAAAACTAAAAAACTATCAGAATTTATAAAGCCTAAGCTATCTAATAATGTTTTAAAGTAAAAATTCTATAAGGTTTAAGTTATCTAATAATGTTTTAAAGTCAAAATTGGAAAGTTTAAGTTGAGCAGGTTTAAGAGAAATAAATCAGTGACACAAGGTTGGCAAAAATCGTTACGAATACTAAAGAAGTACCCAAAAATCAATTCATTATTTAGCATTTTTGGTTTTATTCTGTTTTTGAGAGATCATTTCACATATGGGGACTGGTTTCGGTGCCATTTCGAGTTACCGGCAAGAGATCAATTAGGACCAGTTTCAGTGATGGATTATCGAGGGTTTTTGTGGGGTTCAACTACCACAATTCGGATAGATTAATTAGAAAAAACTATTTTGATAGTTTCACAGTCAATTCAAGGTATTTTTCGATATTTCTGCCTCTTTGCCCCGTCAAGAAGTTATGAGGAAAATTGATCTTTGAAATCTTAGCTCATCATTGAATTTTAGCTTGTTTTATCCAAGTTTTACTATCGATCTGAGCAAGTTTTACTATGGTTTTAAAACGATTTGAGCTAGAATTAATGAATCTAAATCTGATAAAGTCATTTAGATGCTTTTCCTCTTATCTTTACAAAACCAGAGAGATGCTAGTGGGAATTTACATTTGTCCTATTTTGGTTAGTGGGACAAAGATGTTTTCTATCTATTTATCTATTTTCTATCTATTTATCTATTTTATATCTATTTTTCTATATCTATTTTTATCTAATATCTATTTTTCTTTTCAAAAGCTTCTTATTTTTGGAAACAAAGATTCGAGGTGGTAATAAAACGATTTGGAAACAAAACGAAGTGAAAGTTGGGATTGGTTTTACTATTTAGAAGTAACTCTATTTAAGAAAATCGAAATTTGTTTTACTTTTGGTTTTCTAACAAATTCTTAAGTGTAGTACATGACAAAATGCTTTCTAAAAGATGCGCTTTAGGAAAAACTATGTACTAATAGTATCCCTCTACTCAAGAAGAGCCTCCGGTACTGTACTGAGCCACTGTACTGAGCCACTGTACTGAGCCACTGTACTGTACTACTGTAGTGTACCCCTGTACTGTACTACTGTAGTGTACCACTGTACTGAACCACTGTACTGAAGCTGTTTTAGATAGCTGTTTTTAGAAAACGTACTACTGCCTACGACTGTAAACTACTGTAACTCAACTGTTTGTGATCAAGTTTTAAATAGGAAACATAGCACGATAGCTGTTTTTAGAAAATGATCGAGTCAAAACAAAGCCGAAAACTCTAGTTTCGGCTTAAATGAAATGAAATCAAGAGACTGTAGTAGTGCAAAGATTAAAATAAACTTTAAAGCATAACTTTGAAATGTTTCCTTAATTAGCAAATCAAAAATGAAAATCGAAAACGAAATCGTGCTTTCGTTTTATGGGGAAATGGGCGAAAATTGAGAATACCGTTGATTCTCAGATAGGTGCTTGGATGAGATGAAAAACACAAATTTGAGAAAAGAGAAAGAACTTTTGGGGGAAAAGAAATGATAAGCAGGATCTCTATTTGCGATTTGAATTGGAAGATTTGTCGGATTGTCTATGGAAAAGGGATGATTTATGCAAAATTTTCCCCCAATAATCATACGGCTGAGGAAGGCTCGTAAAATCTCACTTTCTTGGGGTTTTTTTTTCTTTTTGGAAAGCCAGTGCCTTTTAAATGTTGATCAAAAGAAAAGATTTAATCCCTTAGTATCCATTTTCCCTTATTAATTTCTTGATTTTAAAATAGAATCAAAGCTGACAAATCTTTTACTCACAAAGGGAAAGACAAGGGTAGAATGTGGCAAAGGCAAGCCATAAATTAGGTAAGCCATAAACGATTCGAACATGGCCTTTCAAAACAAGACTCACAAGGGAAAGTCAACTGGCTGAGCCAAATGATATGCGACCTATACTATTCCAGGCAGAATTTCATGCTGATTTCGAATATATCTTCCGTTTTTGTTAAATGACAGTCTGCCAAGAGTTATAGCCGAGTCTAAAGTTTCTAAAGGCCAACTGGCCGAGTCTAAAGTTTTGTTAGGACTCTGAAAATGTGGTCATTTGGCCGCCTTCTTTTAGCGGCTTCCTTGCGAACCTTGCGGACCAGTTTAGGTGCAGGCGTAGCCGAGTGGTCAAGCGTTCGTTTCCAGAACGAGATCATGCAAGTTTTATAAATGTGTGACAAGAAATATGTTAGGCGCACGCACCACGAAAAACGCTAATCAGCTTTGCTTTTCATTTTTGTAAAATAGCCTTCTATAAAAAGTTATACGTGTTTTAAGTTGTAGAGTGAAAATGTGAAAATTTTGAGTGGAATAGGGATAGGCTTATAAAGGTTCTTTCATTGGTCATCCAAGTGACTTTATGACATGTACTGGATAAAACGCTTGCATACAAATGATCATACAAACGCTTGCAAATGATAACTTCATTTTTTTTTTGCTCGAGTTTGATTCCTCTTTGGCAAAACTTTTGTTTTGCTATTGTTGTTGTTATTGTTTGTTGTTGTTTGTAAAGACACGTATAACTTTTTATAGAAAGGTATTTTGCAAAAACAGAAAGCAGATTTGAAATCAGCGTGAAATTCTGCGTCGAATCGTTTATCGCTTACCTAATTTTACCACATTCTAATGTTGTCTTTCCCTTTGTGAGTAAAAGATTTTTCTAGCGGCTCTCAGGCTAAAATCTGATTCGTATTTCCGTTCTGGTAAACGTACACGATCTGGCATACTGATTTACTTGTCCTATTCAAGAATCTGTGTACCAGAAAGTGTGGGTTTACTAGCGCAAAGTATGAATTACAGTACTGAACAATGAAATATCATATTTGAAAAAAGATCGTCACTTTCACGGGTCTGTAACTCCCTTGTCTTTGAGTTGAAACTATTAGTGTTATACATTTTCTGAAAGCTCTTTTCAAGGGCTACACAATGGTAATATTAATATTTAGAAATAAGGTAAAGACAAGGGAGTTACAGACGCGCGAAAGTGACGATCTTTTTTCAAATATGATATTTCATTGTCCAGTACTGTAATTCATACTTTGCGCTAGTAAACCCACACTTTCTGGTACACAGATTCTTGAATAGGACAAGTAAATCAGTATCCCAGATTGTGTGCGTTTACCAGTACTGTAGATTTTGAGCAGCCAAATCCTGTCATTCTTAAACTTTTTAAGGACAAACTTATAGTCGGAGATCAACAAGAACAAAATTTCAAATTTTCTACAATTCTTTAAAGTTAGTTAATAGAATATTTACTTGATTACATTGAAAAGAAAAGAAGAATAATATAGTTTTTTTTAAAAACAATGGCTATTTCTAATCAATGGCTTTTCTAAACAATGGCTATTTCTTTAGCGAAAACTGTATCAAGTGAGCAGTCAATTGTGAGCACTTTGAGCAAATTCTCTACAAGTCTAATAGAATAGCTAATAGAATAGAATTTATTACATTGAAAAGAAAAATAATATAGTTTTTTTAAACACAATGGCTCAGGTATTTTCATACCAAAAACTGTATCAAGTGAGCAGTCAATTGTGAGCACTTTTCAACACATTTCGCATAGTTTCGCATACTTTGTCATAACGTTTACTCAAGTCTCAAAAATTTCTCAAGAGTCAGCGTCAGAAAAAAAAGATGAGAGAACAAATAAAAGGGGTTTTTTTTTCAAAAATTTGCCATTGAGAAGAAGTTCTTTACTTTATGAAGAAGTTTCCAGTGCAATTTTCCGATAAAATGCGTATCATTTGGTCTTTGTTCTTGAGAGAAAAGGTTTTTAAAAATCAGAATTGAAGGCTTTAACTATCTTCCTTAAAGCTTTAGACTTTAAAAAGGTAATTTTGGGCTCAACAAAGCTTAGATTTACTTTAGAGCAGATGAACTTGATGGATAAAGTGAGTACTATTTGAACTTACAATTAGTGAACCCAATCAAGCACTTACTACTAGATTTTTAATAGGTTTTATTAGGTTTTATTTGTTTTATTGGGTTAATGAACTTTAAGAACACGTGCTTTGAGTTCTTTATTCTACTGATCTTGATAATTTTATTTGTTTTATTAGGCTAAAGTACTTCTACTACTTAAAGTAGCTCTTCCGGGTATTTTGAAAAAATCCGGGTCGTCACGCTTTGAAGGCCTATAACTTTATCCAGAGATTATATTTTTACTAACTTCTTATATTATTGTACAGAGGACATTTCAGGCTTTCAAATGATACTAAATAGAACTTCTTTGGATAATCCGATCCAAGAAAATCAGTGCCTACTCTGAGCAAATGAGGCTTATCCGACTCGGGTGTTGTGTCTCCTGGTTTGCATGGAAATGAAAAATCTAGTCAAGCTTTATTTGGTATCATTTGAAAGCCTGAAATGTCCTCTGTACAACAATATAAAACGTTAACAAAAATATCATCTCTGGATAAAGTTATAGGCCCTCAAAGCGTGACGACCCGTTCAAAATACCCAGATTTTTTCCAAATGCTCGAATTCTTTTAAAATACCCGGAAACTACGAAAGAGCCAATAAATGTAACGTTTTTACAAAGTTTCCAAGCCAAAAATTTCAAATTTGTAAAGAATTTGTAAAGAATTTGAATTTTTAACTCTGAGAAAAGATATCTGAGAACCAATAAAGCTTTAAAACCTAGGCTTGGCGCACCTTGGCGCACCTTGGCGCACCTAGGCTCACCTTGGCTCACCTAGGCTCACCTTGGCTCACCTTGGCTCACCTTGGCTCACCTTGGGTCACCTGGGCGCACCTTGACTTTAAAACTAACGAACTTGATGTATAAAGTGAGAACTTACAATCAAATAATCAGATTTTTAGATGAAAATATATTTTGAGTCTTCTTTTTGTTCAAACTTTGTAAATAAATCAATTACAAACTTCTCATTTTGCTGAACGCCTCGCCGATCCAACTTCGAGACACTCTTCGTCCGCTTCAATGGATTTGTTCGGAAAGGACGAGAGAAGAAGTTCTGAAATTAAGTGAATTTAAAACAAGAGAACAAGCTATTCGTGAACAGATTCTATATTTAATTCCAGATTTTGACTCAATTGTGCCCATTGAAAACCCACCGCTAATCTCTGCGGCGTCGTCGGATTCTCGTCGATCAGCGCGACACTTGGGCCTTCCTAAAAATGAGTTTTCTATGATAACATTTATAAAATGCTTACTTTTTCAGACTTTCTTACTTTCTTACTTATTTAGAGCTTACTTTTCTAGAGTTATTTATAGTCTAACTTTTTCTAGAGGTCATTTCAGTTGAGTTTTGTCCTTGTTCCCATTTCTCGATTTCTCGCGATCTCATTCGCGGTCACCGTTGAATAATCATGGGAAAGTGTGGGGAAACTCCAGAAAAACTATCTCTAATCTTACAAAAGCAAATAAAGACACATTTTCACGAAACGTTATAACGAAAAGTTTTCAGCGTAATGTACAGGGTGGTCAGAAACATTTCTCTTTTACTGGATGGCCCATAATATGTGTTACGCCTTAAATGAAGGCAAATTAGGTCGAAAATCTGTCAGTTTACTTAAATTTTGTTCTATTTTCTTTTTCTATAACATTTTTACACTTATATACCAATTTTTAGCTTGATCGGTTGGCTAGAAAGAAAATTAGAGTCATTAGAAGCTTGGCAAATAAGAAGCGTCTGGCTTTTGTCTATAAAGACGATTAAAATAAAGGCACTGAACTTTTCAATTATTTTAATTAGTTATTAAGGTTTTAGAAAGGTCAATGAACTTTAAATTAGTACTTTTTACTTTAAGCTTTTTGGTCATTGGTTTTGGAATCCTCTAAAACACCTAAAATCAGTAAATTTCATCTCGTTTTCAACATGCGACACTTTAAAAAATTAAAATTTGATTCTATGATAGTTCAAACAAAGATTTTTTTATGATCTTCACATAGAAAAAGCAAAAACAAAACATTATTTCAAGAAGAGTTTTAAGATTTGAAGTATTTTAAGCACGATTTCTGAGATGATACATCGTGGCAGACGTTTTTATTTACCAAGCTTCTAATGGCTTTAGCTTTTTTTATAGCCAACCGATTGAGCCAAAAATTGGTATATAAGTGTAAAAATGTTATAGAAAAAGAAAATAGAACAAAATTTAAGTAATCTGATAGATTTTGGACTTAATCTGCTTTCGTATAAGGACTTAATAATCGCTTTTTACTTACGGATCTTCTAATGGCTTTAGTTTTTCTTATAGCCAACCGATTGAGCCAAAAATTGGTATATAAGTGTAAAAATGTTATAGAAAAAGAAAATAGAACAAAATTTAAGTAATCTGATAGATTTTGGACTTAATTTGCTTTCATTTAAGGCGTAAAATATAGAGGAGAAAGGAGAAATTGAAGAAGAAAAGGAGAAATGAAAGGAGAAATAAAAGGAGAAATTAATGGAGAAATTAAAACCCAAAAACATGCTTTATATTCTCTCAAATCAATCCAATCCAACAGCCCACCTGATATATTGGAGTTGTGCTCAAGTTGTGCGCGCTGGTGCCAAATCTCGAATGTGGAGAAGCAGTTGTTTGATAGTATCGGCCGTCTTCAAGGGCATCTAGAAATTAAAAATATATAAAGGAAGAAGATTTTGCAAAAGTTTACTGATTTTTAGATTCTTAACCGGCTATTTCTTTATCTTTCTTCCTTCCTCTTTCACATCGCATTTCCACTTTCTTTTCTGGGAAGAAGATACTGGATAGGTCAGTGGTTAGAGTATCTGCCCGGAAAGGAAAAAAGGGCAAGGGTTCAATCCCCTCTCCAAATATCTTTCTATCTTTCTTTGCCATTCCTTCTTTATTAATTTTTCTTCTTTTAAATCACTGGGCAAGCCTCATGTTCTTTAAGCTTTGAGTAGCTTTTGAGGGGTTAAAATGGATAAAAAATTTGATTATAATCGGGTTAAAATTGTTGAAATTCCCAGGATAACACTTTTTCTTTTCATCTGTATATTTTCATTTTCATCATTTTATAAACCTTATATTATTTTCAATTCTTCAACTCTCTTGACAACAAGAATTGATCGCTTCCTTATGGTGTCTGTGGATTGAATTGTGTGGATGACCTTCATGGTCTCTCACTCATAAACGGCCTTGTCCACCCTTGCTTACACCAAGAATGGGTATGAATCGAGTCACGAAAGAAAAGAAAGAAAGAAAGAAAAGAAAGAAAGAAAAGAAAGAAAGAAAAGAAAGAAAGAAAGAAAGAAGAAATAGATAATGAATGGGATGGATCATTCAACAAAAAAACTGGTAAAAGAAAGTTGCTATTAAAAGAAAGGATTTTACTGGATGAGAAATGAAACGGGTATTTGGGTCAGTCACTTGGCTTTGTATGTCTTGTGAAGTACTTTGAGCTATTGGTTTTGAAGTATATGATAGAACTATTACCGGTTGCTTTCATATTTGGTAAGAATCGAGAATTGGACCCCTTGGAGTCTCAAGATCAAGAGCAAGAGTTTAATAGCAAGAGTTTCTAAGACCAAATAGAACTTTAAGTCCTAACAGCCAAATTCCTTAGACTGTACTGAACCAAAGCTGTAGTACAAAGTACTACACGTATAGTAACAAGTACCTGTATTAAGTACAGTGCCACAAAATTCACTATTAAGATACAGAGCACAGTCTTAGTCTTAGTTTTAGAGTACAGTACCTATTAAATCTGTCATTTTCGGTCCGATTGTAGATGCACAACGGAAAAACGAGTTTTGATTACTTCAATGGCTACTTTTTCAAGGATTCTCCAGATCAAAAAATGAAATTTGAGAAATTCTATCTTCATATAGCACGAGATTCTGAAAAAGTAGTTGTTGAAGTGGCGAAAACCGTTGTACACTTATGGACAATTAGATCGAAAATGAACAACTGTAGTACCTATAACAAAGATTTCTGAAACCTTAAGCAATCTATTGATCATTAGCAATTTACTTCAGCAATCTATTGATCATTAGCAATCTACTTAAGACATATTAAATTCTCCGACTTTTGATACCTTTCGAATGTGAAATAAATCGATAGTGACGATTGATCGCATCGATAGACATTTGCCAAAAAAAGTACTGAATAGAATCAGCTAGGAAGAAAACGAAAAAAACTGTCGAGAACGAAGGAGATTGGTGGGAAGGAACTCTGTTCAGCTTCACCACCACTTCTGGTAGTGAAGAGTGGAGGGGAGAGGCTAATCCGCGGCGACCTCAAAAGGAGAAACCCTTTCAACAAACCGGGTGACGATCGAGTTTAGAAAAAAAAGTAAAAGATGATGGAAGAAGCTCGCCAAACACGCTTACAGATCAAGCAATGGAGCCCAGAGAAGAGGACGGGGTTCAGAATGAACAAGAGTGTCCAGAAATGGACTTAAAAAAACATTCGGTCAAGTTCCACTAAAAGATCAAGAGTTGGATAAAGAGAGTACTGTTTTAGAGTTATTTTTGAGAACAATGAGCTTTTCGTAATTGCAAAGAAATTGATTTAAAACTTCTAAAGCTGTTTGGCAAAGTTCAGCTCTTTTTACAACATTTCTCTTCAAAAATTTCGAATTCAGGTTAATTTACAAGTTGATTTACAAGTTGATTTGTTCAAAGTTTGATTTAGAACTCTAGAACTTGAACTAGATTGTTCAATCATGCTAAAATTGTCAGATTATCAGTAGAGTTACTGAATTTAATAAAACTAACTTATGAAGAAGTTATGAAAGTTCTTCATGATCTTCATGAAGTTTTTTCTTTGGCTATAAAGTTGAATTGAGATGTTTAAAAGTTGATTTTATGAAGTAAAGAAGAAACTTCTTGTTCTTAGATTATTTGAAAGAGCAGATCAAACAAAAACAAAGCTATCCACAATCCAACAAAGCTATCCAGAATCTAACAAAGCTATCCAGAATCCAACAAAGCTATCCAAATCTAGATCTGGCTTTTGGTCTTGAAACTATGGCTTACAGAAAGTGAACCTATTTGGGGAATCTCTGTTATAAAATCAGTGAAGTACTTGTTACAGAAGCTGTTTCAAAATGTGAGAATCAAGGTATGAATCAAAAAAAAAACATTGAATGATTGAATGAACATACATTGAATGATTTAAAATTTAAATCTAAATTGATAATAGCTTTTGAAATGCATTACCAAAATCCTCCTCAAACTCTGCCAAATCGTCATCATAATCAGGCCTTGGTATTCGCTCTTCAGGAATAATATTCAACGAATAGGTACTGTAATACCAAGGAGAGCTCATTGTTCGATGCATTTTCACAAAATTTAATAAAGATGTGCTAATATTTGTTGCTGATTGAGGGAATGACCTCAAAATTCCTGAGGCTAAGACTAAGCGGGAGGGGGGAAAAAGCCGACAAGACTCGCCACCAAACAAAATGGGAAAGATGGAGAAATGGAGAGGTTAGAGAAAGAGAAAATGATTCTTTTTCTCTTTCTTGTCTTTCTCTTTCTTGCCTTCTCTTTCTTTTCTTTCTCTTTCTTCTCTTTCTCTTTCTTGTCTTTCTCTCTCTTTTCAGATCTTTAGTTAGATCAAACCTGTGTATCTTTGACCTCAATGCTCTTTTGTACACTTCCTTTTCCCTGTTCAAGTACCGGAGGCTCTTCTTGAGTAGAGGGATACTATTAGTACATAGATAAACTTTTGGGATTTCCCGACAGTCGGAACAAGTGAAATGAAAAGATGAAGCTTTGAAAATAGAGGAAAACCGTTGTTTTGCTCTATCAAACAATTGTTTTACTCTATCAAACAATTGTTTTACTTTCTGAAATGAAAGTTGGGAGTTTGAAAAGTAACTTTTTCAGTATTGCTTTAAGATGAGCTTAATTCAGCTTTAGGATGAGCTATAAAACGTCAAAATTGGACAAATTTAAGGTACTCTCCCAAAAAATCGGAAAGAACTTTCCATCAACCCAATAGTTCAAGTAGTTTTGCTTGAAAATTGTTTCTTTTTGGTCAAATTCGTTGTCGAACTTTTGTTTTGATGACGATTTGGCAGAGTTTGAGGAGGATTTTGGTGTCTGTGCCTGTGAAAAGCAAAAGAATAAAAAGAAATGCCCAATCTATTTAAATAAATTGTTAAATCAACATCGTCAACTAAAATTTTATCATCAACATCAAGAAAACACCTGTCTTCAATATTTCTGACATTCAACTCTGATTTTTTTCAACCATTTTCAAATCTAATCTTTTTCTTACTGGTCTTTGACTTCTCCTGATCTCTATTATAGCAATTGTCATTGCTAAAGTCGCCTCTAGTTACGGAGACACAGATGGGCTAAATGCCGGTTTGTATAGAGTTATCCTCGCATGCTCATCAATGAAAAAAGATCATGGGATTAGTAGAGACACTCAAGAAATCATCAACTAGAATAGTTGTGATGAAAAGGGTCATAAATCGTGCCTAGAGGCGTCTTGGCTGACCCGTTCTTATCACTGATTATTCCCCGATTGTTGTTTTTTTGAGAGACCATATAATCGGTCAAGACTATGGTCAATGATGCAAAGTAAACAGATTAGGCTTAGACATTAGAATTTGAAATTTTGAGTCTGTTCATTTACAAGATTAAGCAAGAAAGCGAATTTTGATTGAGTTTGAGCGAATTTGAGTCAAAAGGCTATCAAAACTTACCAGCTGTCAAAACTTAACAAAAGTCATAAAGTATGTTTAGTTTGGTTTCTGGGTTCTAATAAAGTAATAAAGTGATAAAGCTTTCTGTTCTAATAAAGTAACAAAGCTTTCTGTTCTAATAAAGTAATAAAGGTTTCTGTTCTAATAAAGTGATAAAGCCTTCTGTTTTAATAAAGTAACAAAGCTTTCTGTTCTAATAAAGTAATAAAGGTTTCTGTTCTAATAAAGTAATAAAGGTTCCTGTTCTAATCAAGTAATAAAGTTTTCTGTTCTAATAAAGTGATAAAGCCTTCTGTTTTAATAAAGTAATAAAGGTTTCTGTTTTAATAAAGTGATAAAGCCTTCTTTTCTAATAAAGTAATAAAGGTTTCTGTTCTAATAAAGTAAAAAGCTTTTCAACTCTAAAATCTATTCGATCTCTTCCATCTGTCGCTCACTTCTAGATATCGATTACGTCTTTCTCTCCTTTCTCGATTCTATTGAACATTTCTCTTTTTCAAATTCATCACCAGGTGTCAGTGTAATAATAAGCGGTTTTCGGGGGAATTTCAAAGAGAAATCGATAGACCAAGAAGGTGTCGATTAGAGAAAGAAAAGAGAAAAAGAACCGGTCGCATTTCGTGTTTTGCATGTGAATGTGAATGGGATGGCTCGTTGAAAAGAACAACCACACCAGTCCTACCATTCACAAGAATGGGGCACTGTGTGAACGAGGAGAGAAATGAGCTCATATCATTTCCCTCGTGGTCAGCAGAGAATTTAAATCTGTACAACTGATTCGTCCAGCGGAATGGGAATTTTTGATTGATACTGGTCATAAATAGAATTTACAATTGGTACAACTATAGGGTTTTCAATATTTCTGATAGATTACTAGATTTAGAGCTAATGTCAAAGCTAAGGTTGTTCATTTTTCGTAGCTTATTTTATCCTTATGCAAAACAAAGTCAAGGTATTCTGTGAGCTGTCTTACTGTAGCAAAACACAACCAAATCTTTTACCAACCCGTTACAAGTCAATATTGAGTCAAAAACTCAAGAATTTGATAAAGTTAAGTAAAAAATCAAACTCTACAACTTGCTCTACGATCAATTTACAAATATTTATCATCAGATTTTGTGTGCTTCTAACAAGATTTATCATTTTATTGTCATTTTTGACGGGATAAGTGTTTGTTCTCCCCAACACTCATCAAAAGAGATCGATGAGATGAAAAGAAAAGAAGAAAAGAGACTTGATAATGGATTTATGAAAGATCTCTCTTTGATTTAGATAGAGAAACTCATCATCGATCTCTCAAATTTCGCCAAACCCAAGCGAATCGTGAAATTTTGAGGGAAACGGTTTCCCTTTTGACTCATTTTTGAGAGCTAATCAAATTGTGGGGAAGTGAAATGCAAATTTAGAAGGGCTTCAGTAATTATTGTGGACTTGTAGTGGACTGAACTTGTTCCTTTAGTGCTTTAGCCTTAGCTTTAGCCTTAGCTTTAGCCTTAGCTTTAGCCTTAGCTTTAGCCTTAGCTTTAGCCTTAGCTTTAGCCTTAGCTTTAGCCTTAGCTTTAGCCTTAGCTTTAGCCTTAGCTTTAGCCTTAGCTTTAGCCTTAGCTTTAGCCTTAGCTTTAGCCTTAGCTTTAGCCTTAGCTTTAGCCTTAGCTTTAGCCTTAGCTTTAGCCTTAGCTTTAGCCTTAGCTTTAGCCTTAGCTTTAGCCTTAGCTTTAGCCTTAGCTTTAGCCTTAGCTTTAGCCTTAGCTTTAGCCTTAGCTTTAGCCTTAGCTTTAGCCTTAGCTTTAGCCTTAGCTTTAGCCTTAGCTTTAGCCTTAGCTTTAGCCTTAGCTTTAGCCTTAGCTTTCAATTCTTTAGCCAATTTTAGTGCTGCCAGACTTTGCTTACTCGACTCAAACATTTTTACGCTTCCAGAGGTTTCAGTACCAATACAAGTCTGTTGCTCACAAGATTTAGATCTTTAGATTGTTCTTTTACATGCTCTGGGTTTACAAACTAATAAAAATCACTTTGCTGCCTTAAATAGAGTGCAATGTATCTATGAAATCTTGCGCACTTCTTTGTTAATCAGCTCATTGTCAACTCATGACAACTCATTGTCAACTCATGACAATGAGTTGACAATGAGCACTCACTTCTTATCCATGTTGACCAATCTCTGCTCAATGATTAGACTCAACTTCCTATTTTTTGAAGTGATGAGAAAATGCTGGTCAAAATCAAAAAAAAAATCGGGTTTTCAAGAGCTCTGAGAAAACCGCGTCAATACAAGAGAGGCGGTGTGCTTCAAACAGAGCTGTCCTCGAAATTTGGACCACAGAAATTGGGCTCTGAGAAAAACGCCGTCAATACAAGAGTCCCAAGGAAATTCTTGAAAAGAAAAAGAATCAAGGGGGCGAAAGCACGGATTATTTGCTTGGATTCGCTTGTGGGCGGCTTTTCTCAATTCCCGTTATGTTTCTTCAACAACACCGTGTTCTTGGGGAGAATTTGAAAGCAATCAACTTGCTAGACTAGGTATTTTCGGAGAAGTGACTGGGTTTGTTTTTGGGAAATCATTTAAGAGACTTGTAGGAAAGATAAGTGATCATAAGTTAGAAATCAAAGAACTTTTGAACACAGGATGATTTGTGTTTTGGTTTATTTAGTGCTGAAGCGATTCAGAAGATCGATCTACTGCTCGATTACGATTTAGGAGATGTTATTGAGGCTATATATTGAGCTTGGATCAACAAGAAAAGAATGGAGGAGAATGTAAAGAAAGGAATGAAAGAATGGAGCAAAAGAATGGAGCAAAAAAATGGAGCAAAAAAATGGAGCAAAAAAAATGGAGGAAAGGAATGGAGCAAAGGAATGGATCAAAAGAATGGATCAAAAGAATGGATCAAAAGAATGGATCAAAAGAATGAAGCAAAAGAATGGAGCAAAAGAATGGAGTAAAAGAATGAAGCAAAAGAATGAAGCAAAAGAAAGGAGCAAAAGAATGGAGCAAAATAATGGAGCAAAAGAATGGAGCAAAAGAATGGAGCAAGATTTAAGAACTTTAGACTTTTACATGGCTACAGAAGTCTAATCTCTTTCAAGCGTGGCTATTTCTATTCTACTTTAGACTTTTACATGGCTACAGAAGGTAAGAATGAAAATCTAAAGCTACATCAAAGTTTGATCTAGCTTTCGATATTATCAAGCCGTTTTCAAAAAAATCCGGTAGAAAGTCGTAATCGTAGTGTCGGAAAAAGCTACCGTAATCTGCTTCCGAACAAAAACAGAGTACAAAAAGAAAGCTCATTTACAAAAAGCTCATTTACAGCTATTTTTCTTCTAGATAATTTGCATTTACATTATTTTCACCTCTGAAAAGTCTACTAGGAAGATACTAAAAAGAAAATTGAAGAAATCAACTCAAGAAATCTGTATCAAAATCAAAACCCACAAACTCTTACCTTCGTTTTCGCCTTTCCGATTCAACAGTGGACTTGATTGATGTTTAAAAATGAGCTCTTCGCTTTCATTTCGACCGAATAAAAATCTCCATAGAGAGATGATTTGACTCCATAACCATAAAAAGGGCCATAATCCCTTCCACATCAATTTCTATTTAGTTTTTCAAATTTCAATT